TAACAAGTTAAAAAAAGACAGATAGCTATTATATAATGATAAAAAGATCAATTCAATGAGAATGCATACCAATTTTAAATATATATGCATTTAATGCCAGAGCCCCAGCTTTATAAAACAAATTCTACTAGACCTAAAAAGAAGGGATAGACAGGTATACAGTAATAGTGGAAGACTTCAACACTACACTCACAGGAATAGATAGATCACCAAGGCAAAAAGTTCACAAAGAAACACTGGAGTTAAATAGTACTCAGAGGAAATGGAACAGACATCTACAGAACATTCCATCCCCAAATTACAGAATACACATTTTTCTCATCAGTACATGGAACATCCTCCATGATAAACCATATAATAGGCCACAAATCAAGTCTCAATAAATTCAAGGAAACAAAAATCTTATCAAGCACCTTCTGAGAACACAGTGGAATAAAACCAGAAATTAACTCCAAGAAGAACTTGCAAAACCAAACAAAGATATGGAAGTTAAACATTTTGTTCTTGAATTATCCTTGGGTCAATAATGAAATCAAGATGAAAACTTAAAAATTCCTTGAAATAAACGACAACTATGAAACAAGATATCAAAATCTCTGGAACACAGCCAACGCTGTGCTTAGAGGAAAATTTATAGAGCTTAAGGCCTACACTAATAAGATTGAAAGACTGCATATTGATAATCTAACATCACCTCAAGGAACTAGAAAAACACAAACAAACCAAACCAAAAGCTAGTAGAAGAAAAGAAATAAGATCAGAGCAGAATTAAATGAAATAGAAACTTAAAAAACGCAGACTCAATGACACAATGAGAAGATATATTTATGTGGCCAACAAAAATATGTAAAAATGCTCAACATCACTCATAATCAGGGAAATGAAAATTAAAACCACAATGAGATTGCCACCTTACACCAGTCAGAATGGCCATTATTTAAAAAAATAAAGAGAGAGAGATACTGGCACAGATGCAGAGATGAGGGAACACTTATATACTGTTGGTGGGAGTGTAAATTACTACTATCTTTATGAAAAGTGGTATGGAGATTACACAAAGAACTACAAGTAGATCTATAATTTGATTCAGCAATCCCACTACTAGGTATGTACCCTAAGGAACAGAGGTCACTGCGTTAAAAGAGACACCTGCACTTGCCTTTTCATCACAGCACAATTCACAATTGCAAAGATGTGAAATCAACCTAAACGCCCATCAACTGATCGGTGGAGAAGGAAAATGTGGTATATATACACTATGGAATATTATTCAGCTCTCAAAAAGAATGAAATAATGTCTTTTGAAGCAACTTGGGTGGAATTAGAGAATATCATCCTAAGTGAACTAAGGAACAGAAAACCAAACATCTCCTGTTTTCAATTATAAGTGGGAGCTAAACTAAGGATATGCAAAGACAACAAAGAATGGTATAATAGACACTGGAGACACTTTATCACAGATGTTTTGGATGTCTGCTTTACTATCTTGTAATGAAATTCATAGATAATATACTTGTCTCTACATTTAGTTTTTAAAGATCACTATGTTTGAACTACCAGACCTATGAAATGAAAACAATTTATAATAAAAACGTAAGGTGGAAAGACAAAAAAAAAAAAAAAAAATCACATATTGGGTACAATTGCATGGTAGGGGTGGTGGTACTCTTAAAACACAGACCAAAAACTATTTGTATCCCCTAAAGTTAAAGGAAAAGAGGAGAAGAAAAGTAGGCAAATGGACTTGCCTGATGATTAATCGATAACCACACACTGAGTTTTGGTCGTCAGACACAATAATAGTTTACAATAGGCTAGCATAAGTAAGGTTATGTAATGGAATGTGACAATCTATAAGAAGCTATATAATCTTCATAGATTCATTGTTCTATTTATCAAGAAGTTTTTTTGTTGTTATTGTTAAACTAGGAGAAGCATAAATTTAGGCACAAATTTAAAAAGAGACGTCCTGGATTTCTCATCCATTCTGGCTAAGTTCAAAAACATAGATTAAATTTTAAAAAGAGACTGTAAATTCATTGAAGGAATACAAAATGCATTAAAAATCCTAACTAGCATGTTGTAGTCTAGACTTCTCTTCTGCACTTTCATGTATACTTCATGGCGTGGCCTTTATAAACGCATTTGTGACAGTCCCACCAGATGGGAACAGATATGAAAAAGGATGGGTCCTATTGTGGGTCTTAGTTACCAGCCTAAGGATTCAAGTGTCAGAGGGTGTGAAGGGCGTGGTTGAGCCTAGAAGGAGAGGGAGAGCAGGAGGAATTACTCCCTCGGTAGTGTTTCAGAAATGTGGGGGGACTTTATGTTCTTCTAGCGTGTGAACTTCAGCAATTACGTATTAAAATACTTTTATTATAAATTGTTTTCATTTCATATGTCTGGGAGTTCAGACATTACATTGATTTTTATAAACTAAATGTAGAGGCAAGCATATTATATATGAATATCATTACAGGATAGTAAAGCAAACATCAAAAATATCTGTGATACAGAGAAGAAACTGCATCTGGACCTCAGGGTCTTCCTAAGTGTGGTCTGCAGACCACCAACATCAGTGTCACCTAGGAATCTGTTAGAAATACAAATCCACTCCAGGCTTACTAGAATCAGAAACTCTGCAGGTGTGGTCCAGCAATTTGGGTTTTAATGAGCTGTGTATCCAGGAGATTCCGCTGCTTAAGTTTGAGATCCACCACTTAGACTAATGCTATCTGCAGTCACGATACTCTTGAGGGACATGGAGGGTTTCACATTCTGAAATTGGTCTCTGCACTTTTGCACTCATGCAATGCTATGATTTCTGGGCATCTTTGATCTTGAAAGCTAACATGCCACCAGGGTAAACACCCTGGTGAAGCAGCGGGGACTAGACTTGAGGGCTGCTGGTGCAGTGCATGCTCTCATCACAGTACTCCAGTGCTCCTCCACCTCAGCATGGGGCTTCCACATACTAACTTGTTTTTGCTTTATCTGTTGAGATTTTGAGTGTGTGAAGGTTACAAGGTGTAGGGATGGCATTATTTACACATCTACCCAGCATTTGGAGTGGGGGAGTGAGGAACATCAGGAATTGTAATAATCTTCATTCCCTCCAAATAGGCAAAGAAAGGTACTTGATTTAAAAAACTACAATGTAGCCGGGCTCGGTGGCTCAGCCTGTAATCCCACGCCTTGGGAGGCTGAGGTGAGTGGATTGCCTGAGCCCGTGGGTTCGAGACCCGCCTGGGCAACTTGGCGAGACCTCATCTCTACAATAAGTAAAAAAAATTAGCCAGGTGTGGTAGCGTGCGCCTGTAGTTCCAGCTCCTTGGAAGGCTGAGGTGGAAGGATTGCTGGAGCCCAGCAGGTCGAGGCTGTGGTGGCCGCTCCCGGTCACTGCACTCCAGTCTGGGCGACTGAGTGAGACTCCAACTCAAAAAAGAAAAAAAAAAGAAACTACAATGTAAAGAGACTTGGGTGAGAGGAATGGGGGATAGGGACAGAACTGAAATGGAGGGAGCAGAAAGAAGTGGGGAAGGAGAGTCAGAGTGGAACTTGCTGAGAGGTACAAAGGGGTCTCCTGTTTGGGAAGACACAAACACACTCCTTCAGGATTTCAGTTTGATATTTAAATAAAGTCTTCAAACTTCTTTCCCCTGCTAATAACAAAGTATTCTGTTGTGCCTGAATTTTTAAAAATTAAATATAGTATCTTACTTTTAAAAAATGCTGTTCTTGAAAAGCAGTTACAAAAAAAAGTGATGGGGTTTTGTTTTCTAAAATACTGCAAAAATCACATAAGGTGACCAAAACTAAAGGTTAGAATATAGACATGTTTGGAGTGTATGGAATATACATTGAAGTATCAAAGTTATAAAGACAAAGTAACTTAGAGAAGGCCTTTCTTCTTTAAAAGATACTTTAGTCTAAGCAGTAAGCATTTTGAAAGCTTATTTGTCGTAGGCTGCCTAGCACAACACTTTTGTGCAAAAACTGAAAAGAATATAAAAACAGAGCAAATATACCTTTAAAAAGTAATGAAAGAAACTCAGAATCTTCCTACAAACTCCTGTGAAGAACTACAATAACAAGCACATTTCTATCTAAAGTAGTGGATGACACTGCGCTACTTACCCAGGACATACCCAAAGTAATGTTCTTTAAAAAGGAATGACCAGACATGAAAACAATCTTCAGTTTTTAAAATTTTATCACTTTATGCCCATAACTTCTAGAATACTAAAATTTATTTTAACAAACCAGATCAATTTACCAAATATCCTACATCCCTTTATAATAAATAACTTAGGAAGATATTGTCTGTTTTGTATCTAAGAACGTTATTAACTTTCTAGATGAAAAATATCTATCTGTATATAAAATTAACCTTTGCAAAGCCTGTGGTTTTTCCTGTAAAATTCTACAAGCACTTCTTGTTAAAGGTTCACACAGTGAGGTGAGACATGACTGCCACCAAGTGGAACAAACATGCACCATAAAGATTATGCATCTTTCAAAATTAAAAAAAAAAAAAAATCCTTCATTTAAAAAGAGAACTGTCACAATCTTTATCCTAAAATGCAATGGAAACAATGAGAAGTAAGTACATCCTGGTCTTTTTTGAGTTACATCTATGTTAGTCAAAAGCTGTTAGAGATGCAAAATTGGCCCTCCCTTGTAGGCATTAAATCAGAAGCTGTACTGTAACAAGTGTGGTCTGTGAATGCACTAAAGGCCAGGAAGCATGCATCGATGGCTCTCTACTATTCCTTGACTCCACTCCATCTCCTTTATTCTCATTCACCCACAATAGGGGTTGATGACTTTGACCAAAAACTCAGCAAGTTAAGAAAAGTATAGTTGGTCTTACCCAAATTACCTGATTAACTTGCCTTTCATTTTGAAAATAAGAAATTTATTTCAACTTTTTTTTAGGTTAAACTAATGGGTTAATTCTATAATTCAGGAAACAAATTTTCCACAATAAAAGGGGTTACTTAGTTTCAGGAGAGATTATTTTATTTTGCCCAATCAGAGCCCTTCAGCATAAAGAGACATTCATATACATATGTATGAACATTTTCCAGAAACATTAATTTATAATACATTTTTTAAAATACCAGCTTGATGGTATTTATTTACAAAAATATTTCATTACCTAATTTTAAACCTTTTGCTGTGATGACAGTTTGTAAAGTACAGGAATGCAAAATAACTACAAAGTTTAACACATTTTTAGTGTTTGCAATAGTGCTTTTTTTAAAAGATGAAATAATACAGAGATTTTTTTAAAACTGTATTTCAAAATGCATATTCCAGCAATTACCTTTCAGATACTTACTGAGACTGAGCAAGATTTGTGGGAAAAAAAAAAAGTTCAGCAAATGAAAAACACCTGCAAGTACAGTTGAAGGTATACACAAGCTAGAGCTCCATATCACGCATGCTTGCCTCTGAAGTGGACAATGTCAGAAAAGCTTAATCTTGCTTTTTTTCTTATTGTCTGTTGGTAATGCATTCACAACGAACCAATAGTATAACTAGAAAGCAAAATGTTTCTCTGGTTCTATCATGTTGAACAGAAGTCACACCTAAAGTGTCACAGTACTGTTTATTTACAAAAGAAAATTTAAAAAATTAAAACATGATTTGCTCTTTGCATTGCTTTCCATTGATATGTTGAGTTTGTGTTCAACTGCTTACGCTGTCTTAGTTGAAGCAAAGTTTAGACAACATAAAACAAATAGTAAAAGTATCAAAAGAATCTACCAAATAAATATAATTCCATTGTTATTAAACTATCTCCATTTGAAATGCCTGAGTCAAACAACCTACAATAAATTAATACTGATTTATTTACATCTTATACACTATAAAATTTTAATTTAAACTATGAGCCTCATTTAAAATACTGGCAAAACTGACATTCATGATTTTTCTGATGTAAAGAATAAAACAAAGAGAGCACTTACACATAGCCCTGGACTACTGTACTAAATTTGTGAATGAATTGTGCCTAATACTTTAAGACTGTATTAGTAACTGAAGAAAGCAAAGTTATAACCCTGGTAATTGGGAAGTTAATAAATCATTTAATTCATCAGAGAAAGAAGCTAAAGTCTTCCCTTTAACTTTTGTTGTTGTTTTGTTTGGTTGCAACAACATTTTTCTGTCCACAGAACCTTTTTTAAAACTTCTGAGGCAGTAGTAGGATCTTTAATATTCACAGGAAAAATAATCCCCATAGCACTTTACAAGAAATTGATCAGAGTGATGAAAAGTGCAATTAACAAAAGTTGTAAACAGTATCTTCACATTCATTTTCAAATGAAAAAAAAAATTGTGGGCATAAATTTCAATCCAAGAGAACAAACACCCTAAAAGGGAAAAGAAAAAAAAGGACATTTAAGATATAGGAGTGCTTTTTTTTCAAATAAATACAGATTAAAAAGTCTAAGAATATTGATCAAGTATCAAACTGATAAGGAACAAATTCTATAAACTACAAAATAAAAACCTTCATTGACAAAAATACATAAATTTTGTTTTCATTTTTGGAAATTTATTTTTAAAAAAGGTAGAAGAAAATACCTGGAAAACTATTTTAAATATATATATATATATCTATATTTCAAAATAATAGTTAAGGTAAGCATCCAACAGTAAGCTGTAGCTATTGAGAAAGATCTTGCAAATTATTGTTGTGGGCATTTTCCCCCAAAATAAAATTAATATTTGAAAATGCTCAATAGAGGATTTTTTGAAACCATATAAATGGTATCTTTCTTACCAAATGTGAAGACTTTTAAATGATATATGATTTTTTAAAATTAATTGTATCTCGATATGAGATACCAATATTTCTTATTATAAGCGTAAAACATAACTTTCTGTATGGATAATATACATACTTTTTAAGTACTTTGACTTAAACTTAACAAGTTCACCATTTTTAAAATTAAAGAGTACATTTATAAAAATTCCATTTTAAAATTAAAAGTATATTCTCTAGCAGTATGTATAAATATAACATGTTACTGTATGATCTTAAAACAAATCTGAAAGTGTTGCAATAATTTAAGACCAAGAATACTAAAACATACAGCAAATAATTTTACTATCTTTTTAATCTTTGTAAACTATATAAAACCCTATTAATGGTTTTAAAACTGATCAGTTTGTTTAAGGTGAAGCTAGCAGCATATTCATGATTTTGGTATGTTTTATACACATGTATCACTTGATTTAAACTGAGCAATGTGGATTAAATAATAATAAAAAGTTTTCATTACCTAAAAAAGTTCAGAAAAAATTCAAGTTTAAAGTTCAGTGCTCTTTATTTTGCAGAAATAAATAAAATCCCAAAAGTTAAATGCAAAATAAATCTTTGCCACAAAAAATTTACCTTTGGATATAGCTTTTCTAATGTCACACGAGAAATGCCTTAAGCAAAACATATATGGAATATAGAACTCAGGGTAAAACTTTGAACTCCATGGGGTCTTTCACATATTGTTCCTTTCCTCAGCTGTCTCCCCAGCACCCCTGCAACTTAAAAGTATGTAACACTTTCAGACTTGTTTAAAACACTCACATATCTACATGAAATAACTTCAGAGGAAACTACAATTAAGAAGTTCTAGCAAAAGAAATGGTTCTTTCTTTAAACTACAGTACTTTACTTAATTAGATTATAATATACTTACACATAATAACATAGACAAGTAGCAGCATTTTTTCACATCCATAAAAAATCAAATTGAGAAGTTAGTAATAGCTTAGTTGAATCTAGAACCATTTTTTGGAAACATTTTGCACAATTGAAATGCAAAGCAAAAGTGTTAAGATGATGCAAAACCTCAAATGGAATCTGTCTGAATGTAAGATTTCAAATAACTTTTTAAGCAAATACATATGCATTTAGTTTGAAAAGTGAAACGAACTGAATATGTGATACACACAGGAAAACCACTTCCTACTGACAAACTGTTAATCAATGAATACTTCAGTGATTTAGAATCAAGGACAAATGTAACAAGACAATGTTGAGGATATAAAAAGAGCACACAGAGATCTTTCATTTTTCTGATATTTTCTATTTTGATTTTTTTTATTTTTGGTTAGTTTTCCTGAAATTGTGGCTTGCTGGTGACTATTACTTTCTGCATTTAAAAAGAAAAAAAACAATAGAGATGTTATCTCTCAAATTACAATAAATTCCCTGGGTTAGTTATTACTGCAGACTGCCTCTTATCTAGACTGTATCAAGTATAACTCTGAGAAGCTTATTTCCTATATTCAAACATACCTCATACTTTAAACTTTCTAATCCTAACCGAGTCTCTAGTTTGCTGTGCATAATTCATAGATTAATTAAAAAGTTAAATAAAATAACTCAAAACATCAATTGGAGATTTTCTTATAAAATCTTGAATATCTAAGGTAAATGTATTTACTTCTCTATTTGAAAATAACGACAAGACTGGTTCATTTTATATACAATAGGGAAAATGACAGTTAAAAATGAAGTTAATATGCAAATAACACAAAATAACATAGCAAATTAAATAACTGCAGCTAATATGAACTTCCACATGAATAGGGAATCAAGCAGTATATAAATTTACTTAATGTTTCTCAACTCCTTCAGATCCATAACTGTTGATTTTATTGATGATATTCACACAATTGTACCTTTAAAAAGGACCTAGTACTTCTGGTGACATATCATGAAACAATGGGTTTATTGGACAATAGATATTACAATTTAAGCAATTTGCAAACTGCTGAATGTTCATCAGACAACTGACATTAACTAAACAGAACTGTATTAATCATCAGTACTTTCTATAACTTCAAAATTTTTGAAAATGATTGTATTTTTGAATTATTCTTTTGGCTTGATCAATTATCCTTATCACATATTATTTAGTCCTTACTGAATGTTTACAGTAAACTTCGATGTAAACTTTTAGGTCCAGTAGTGCACATTATAAAATGTAAACATAAAAAGTTTATTAACGAAGAAAAAAAGAAAAATGTATATGACAAGTTGTGTGAAAAAGTTAAAATGTCCTACATATACCTTGAAAAATCATATGGAAATAGAAAAACGACCATCATGTTTACTATCAATTTGTGCTCTGATTCAATCTCGTAATGAAAAAAGAAAATGATTTAGCATTTTTTAATAGAAGACCATATTTAAATTTCATTAACAATAATTTTAATGATTCCATTTTGCGCCTACTTTGTTGCTTTAACAACAATCAATAATAATCTCAGATTGGCCCACATTAGGTTTACTTCCAGATCTGAGTTGAGTTTTTTCTTTTTTAACCCTCTGTAATGCTGTTCTATGAAACAATCATTCATTGTCCATTGCTGGTCTTATTTGCATTATACTCCAATACAGAAATAATTTAGTTATCAAAGTGTATGTATTTTCCTTTCTTTTTGGCCTTTTAAAACCCTGATAGGATATGTACAGATTTATAGTATATTTCTACAGAAAATATTTTGTAGGTCATCAGACTAGACTCTTATATAGATAATTATTGACAACAGATGCTTGTAATTTTCCATGCGAAAGCATGTGCACTAAGATTTAATTGGCTCATCACCTGAGTGTATTGGAACAGTTAGCAAATAAAGGGCATTTTAGAAAGGGAGCTGAGCATTTTACTGAAATAATGAAAGTGTGTGTGTTTGTTTTTTTTTTTTAGCAATTTTAATTAAATAATGCAAAGGTACATTTGGTTAAACATTTTATAAAAATCCAAGCAAAATTAAAAACTTAGCCAATTTCAACAATTCTACAAATTTAACCAGTAACTACTTTGGTCAAATCCACCTTTAGCTGAATTAATGAGAACAAGGACAAGGGACATTAAAGTATTCTCCTCACCACAATGGAGGTTTTTCTCACTTTCCACACTGCATAGCCACTACATGGAAACTCCCAGAATGATGAGCAATTTAGTCATGCTCTACACTTTTCTTTTCAATGAAAAGTGATGTATCTTCTTGTTTTGCTTTTGACAAAATATGAACTAAACACAAGTCTATAATAACAAGAATCCAAGAGTAGCCCATACACAAATCAACTATGTGTATGTTTTTTATTATTTAAAGTCCACCATTCAGCTTATCTGTCTAAAGATATGATAACAGTTTGTTTCTTTTTCACTAATGATACTGATGACCCGTCAGTTTAAGAGCGGGAAAGTCCAAGACAGCTGTTTATAATCCAGTCCCATGACACATATATACCCATTTCAGCTTCAGGACTTCTGACTTATTGCCTCTCCCCCAAACAGGTCAAACACTGATGGCAGATAAAACGGCACGAAATCTTTTGGCATATGGAAGTTTAATACAGGAATGATCCGGGATTAGGGCCCTGTCATGTCTCTTCAACATCCCCCTTTGATTTGTCATCTGTCATGTGCAACCTGCTTAGTTCCCAAATTATCAGCTCACAACCGGCACACACCATGTACTTCGGTTGGAGTGTATGTGAACACTCCTCAGTTAAAGCCACATGACTGAGGTAAAACAGTGCATGATTGTGCTAGGAAAGAACAATATTCAGTGATGAACATCCCTTTAATGTTAGCTTTCCTAAATAAATCAATGTAATAAAAAAGGAAAACTTTTTCCTTCTGGCTGAAGTTGGACTTGTTGGATTCTGGTAGTCAGAACTGGTACCACTTCTTATCTTTGTATTTCAACATCATCTGAAGGGGAAAAAACAAGAAAAACGTATGGGTGTGTGTTTTAATGCCAGAACAATATTTTAAGTTATAACTGGTTCTTATATTCTTTCAAAATATATCATTCTGCAACATTCCACAGTATTATTATATTGTTTACGTCAAATCAACTTATTGAAAACAATAAGAACTATTCCATTTAGAGGGGAAAAGCCTATAAACACTAAGAACTAGCCTAGAAGTTCCTCAGATTTGGAGCTAAAAATAATGCTTACACCAGACCTTGAACAATTATTGTAATACTATAAGAGAAGGATTGGCAGTAGTAGGAAACTGCCGGGGGATGGGGGCAGAATTGGCAGTAGTGGGATACTGTCAGGGAAGGCGGGGGCACACCTCATCAACAAGAGTACCTGCATCATGAACATTTGTATACCTAACCCTGAATTGCACCCCATGTCTTTAAAATAAAAAAAAATAAAAAAAAATAATAATTACAAAAATGTATTCTAAAAATTAAAAAAAAAAAATGCTTAAACACCTAAAGGATGACAGGCTGAAAACTGTACTACTACTGCCATCTCAAATTTATTGTGCATCTAACTTTGAACTAGGCATTATATGACACACTTTTCCTATTTTATTTCATTTGATCCTCACAATTCTTGGGTAGGAATTATTTTTCCACCCATTCTATAAATGAAGAAACTGAGGCTTCTAGGAGTTACACAGGGTAATGCAATGGTGAAACTGGAATCTGAGCTTAGGTAGAGTGATTCTAGAACTCTTGACTAACCACTTCAATGTAGTCTTCCTTAGACTCTCAAATATAGCTCAAAACCAACATTGGTACAAGGGAAAGATATGTTTGTTTGACACTGAGCTCTTTGCTAAGTATTTATAGTAAGAATATATTCTTTTTTTTTTTTTGAGTTGGTGTCTCTCTCGGTTGCCCAGACTGGAGTGCAGTGGCCGCTCCCGGCCACGGCAGCCTCGACCTGCTGGGCTCCGGCAATCCTTCCGCCTCAGCCTTCCGAGTAGCTGGAACTACAGGCGCATGCTACCACGCCCGGCTAATTTTTGATTTATTGTAGAGATGAGGTCTCGCTGCCCAGGCGGGTCTTGAACCCGCGGGTTCAGACAATCCACTTATATTCTTAAATTGACTGAAGTACTATATATGTATTAGCACACACCCAATCAGGTGCATAGTTATGACAACAAAAATCCTGACCTAGATTGAAGACCACTAGCCTATGTCTGAGGTACCTGTGGCCATAGTGCAAGTTCTCACAAATAATCTCTGAAACTCTTTGATGCCCTGGACAAGAATTTTCCAGGTCAAGTTACCTCTTCATGCATTCTAGGTTTCAGCATTCATGAGAAAGGAAGAGATGACTTTTGATTGAAAAATTTAAAAGGAGATCTATAAAAATAACATTAATATGGTTTCTTTAGATAGCAAACTCAAAATGTTCTCAAGGACTAGCACAGGAATTAGACATTTGAAGTAACCTAGTGCTAAGCATCAAGGAGAGGCAGGCTTGTGTATAACAAAAAAAAAAGTGTATTTTACTTAAAGGCTTTTAAATTCATCTTTTAAAGGCACTGTGTTGGCAAACAAAACATATATGTCAGACAACCAGTTAGGAATCCCTACTTTATAGTATCTGTTGCTGAGCTCCATCATGACTTCTCAGGTCTATGAAGATGAACTTATTGCAAAATGCATCTCTCTACCCCTCCATAGTAATTGGTCTACAAGACAGACTTAATATTGTTTATTTAAATAAAAATGTCAATTTTAGTTACTTAGATCCAGCTGTTAGAATCAAGTAGGCAAATTACGTCCTTCTCTAGGACAAAGTGGTAGCACTCTGGGGCATTACGGAAAATTAGCATTATTATTGCATTCCTAAATAAATATCTGCAACGCTACTGGTTTTGTTTACAAAGAGACTGAAGGTGAGCAGGCTCCTTCTAAATTCACAATTTCCAGTAAGGGACAGAGGTTATTGAGACATATTTCTATAATGGTTCCCTCTGGTGGCAAAAATCAGAAAGCTGCAATTGTACAAAGGCTATATGATTTTCATGTGTATAGAAATACAATAGCTATAAAAATACAGTAACTTTCATACTTGCTTTACCTAGGATCTTTTGTTTAAATATGTTTGATACACATACCTCATGAGCATGTTTAGAAAATGAATCTGCACTTGATAACATAGCTGCAGTTCTTTCTTCCAGGTCACTAAGTTTTTGTCCTCTTTCATCTAGTGCCAACCTGGCTCGTGCTAATTCACCAACGACTCCAGATGCCGCTCCTTTCACACCTTCAATGCCACCAGGGCCAGGGATATGCTGTGCAAGGCTCCTTGAGGCCTTTCCCGAGGATGATTCTCCAACTGAATGGATTTGATTAATGAAAGAGTAACTCAAAACATAAAAATTCTATTGATAAAAATTCTACTACATGATAGCATTAAAATACAGATTTTAGACTGAGTGGCAATATAATTAATACATGTTTTCCTTTACTATGATGGCTTAAATAATTTATTTTCAAATGCACACAGTAACCTTGTTTATTTTGAAACCAAGTTAATTAACTAAGTTATTATTATATTAATACAGTGCATGGCTGTTTTAATAATGTGTGCTTTTCAAACATGGAAAACGACAACAGACATTAAAATATTCTACTTTCTACTGGTTTATAGAGCAGAATTGGTACAAAAAGAGGGCTGATAATTCTTTGAAATGAATAATGAGTATACTGATACCAATGTACATAATAGTGAAAACTGCTCTAATGCATTTTCACTAGAAATAAATTAACTTAAAGATACTTAGCCTCAAATATATAGATATAAATTTAAATATACAGATTTAATTTTTAGTTTATTTACTGCACACTTCTTTCTTAAAAGTTTTTGTGTGAACATGTTTTCAATTTTCTTGGGTATATGCCTGGGAGTAAAATTGTTGGGTCATAACGTAACTCTATGTTTAACTTTTTGAGAAGCTATCAGATAGTTTTCCAAAGAGTTTGTACCACTTTACATTACTACCAGCAAGGTGTGATGGCTTCAATATCTCCACATCCTTGCCAATATTTCTTATTGTGCATCTTTTTTTTTTTTTAATTACAGTTATCCTACTAACTGAGAAGTGGTTTCACATTGTGAATTTGACTTGCATTTCCCTAATGACAAATGTAGGGTGCTTTGCATGTGCTTATTGGTCACTTTTCTATTTTCAATGGAGAAATGTCTATTCATATCCTTGATCTATTTTTAAATAGGTATATTTATCTTTCTATTATTGAGTTGTAAGAATTCTTTATATATTCTGGACGCCAGGCCTCATCAGACAGATATATGATTTGTAAATATTTTATCCTGTGTTTTGGGATCGTCTTTTCACTTACTCAATAGGATTTTTTTTGAAGAAAAAAGTTTTTAACTTTGATGAATTCCAATCTCTGTCCCCCTGCCCTGCTTTGGTTGCTTTCTTATTCAGGTGTTATATGAGAAACCGCTGCGTAATCCAATGTGACAAAGACCTATGCCTGTTGTCTTCTATGAGTTTTATAGTTTCAGCTCTTACACTGGGGTCTTTGATTCATTTTTAGTTAACTTTTGTTTATGGTGTGTTAGGGTCCAACTTCATTTTTTTTTTTTTTTACAGCCTGGTAACCAGTTGTCCCAAAATCACTTGCCAAAAAGACCATTCTTTCACCACTTAATGTTCTTGGTATCTTTGTAAAAAATCACTTGGTGATCAAAGCATGTACTTATTTCTGGATTCTCAATTCTATCCTATTGGTCTATTTATCTACTTTTATGCCACTACCACCCTGTCTTGATGACTATAACTTCATAGTAAGTTTTAAAATTGGCATGTGTGTCTTTCAGATTTATCTTCTCTTTCAATATTTTTTTAATGTGTGACTATTTTTAATTATTTGCATTTCATATAAACTTTAGGAACAGCTTGCTGCTTTCTGCAAAAAAAATCTGGGATTCTGATAGGGATTGTGTTAAATGTGTAGGTCAACCAGGGGAGTACTGCCATCCTGATGACGTTAAGTCCTCTAATCCATGAACGCATTAGCCCTAGCACAATTTAGTATCTCAGCCTATGGTAGACTAGCAATGTATTCCCCGGTATAAAAGTGTCCCAAATTGTCAGGCTCATCACTCTGAGTATCATTCCTCATGGATACTGTCCTTGAAAAGTCCTTACTATATCACTTGATTTTTGATGCTTTTAAGAATTAAAAAAAATATATGTTTTGGGGTTTTATGTAACTTTATAAATATTTCCTTAGTGAAAATATTCCAAATTATCAACCCCCATCGACCTGAAGAACAGGTTTCTTTCTTTTTTTTTTTGAGTTGGAGTTTCACTCCTTTGCCCAGGCTGAAGTGCAGTGGCATGCATGCTCACGGCCACCCCAGTGTCAAACTTCTGGGTTCCAGCGATCCTTCCGCCTCAGCCTTCCTAGTAGCTGAAACTACAGAGGTGCGCTACCACACCCGGCTATTTGTTATCTTTTGTTGTAGAGACGAGGTCTCACCAAGTTGCCTGGGCTGGTCTTGAACCCATAGACACAGGCAATCCACTTGCTTTGGCCTCTCAAAGTGCTGGAATTACAGGCTGAGCCACTGAGCCCGGCCTTCATTTTTTTAAAAACTAAATTAAAACATAGCTCAATCCTCTGGGAAAGCTTTAAAAATGAAATTGCCTTGCACTGCTGATTACTGCTATTTAATGTTACAGTTTTTCTAATAAACAAACATGACACCAAAATTCTAAAATATTTATTTTTATTTTATTTTTGCAAAAAAAAAAAAGAATTCAAAGATAGCAGCTCCCATTTGAAAGAAAAGTCAAGCATTCAGTGATTCATTAGTTCACTAAAGGACAAACTACTAATCTGTATCAATCATATTGATGGCAGACTTTGCTAATTTATTTATTTTAAGTTTTCAAGCAAAGTTTATTTAGAAAGTAAATGAGACAGAGAGAGAGAGAGAGAGAGAGAGAGAGAGAGAGAGAGAGAGAGACAGAGACACAGACACAGACAGAGACAGAGAGAGAGAGAGAGAGACAGAGAGAGAAGATACACCTCCCCAAGACAGGGGAGGGGGCCAAGGATCATACTTTGCTTATTTAAATAACTTCCGAGTACAATGAGAGTACTTTTGCAGGTTTTGTAAGACAGATTAAATGTTTAAGTAAAACTCATTCAAAGTTAAGATCATCATTTAAATTTAGGCAAGCATGGCATTAAAATAATGGTATTACATTTAATGAAAATAAAGTACTTTCTAAATTATTCATTTAAAATTGTGAATATTACTTTTTAGCCAGCTAAAGCTATTCTGATTTTGGTTCCCTAAGTAAATGTTTCCATGATTTGGAAAAGAGTGTCAGAAAATGATTATTGAATTTTGTTAAAACATAGATATGTTCATTATTGTGACAAAGAGAAATACGTGAACAAAATTCACACATATAAAAATTTATATGGTTTGAATGTTTCTGTTTTATAGGTATATTATCCAAATTAAATAAATCAACTTACATAGTTCTTCTCTATCAAGCGACTGTGCACCACCTCCAAATAACCCTTTAAAGAATCCTCTGTTTGGTGCTTCAGGTGTTTCTACAGGAGTGAAGAGTTCACCTAACATTTCCTTTAAAATAAAAAATTGTAATTGTTAAAATATTAGGGAAACTAAACTGTAATTTATAAAACCATCACTATAAACTCTTTCACTTAAGCTCATAACATTACCTGTTGAGACTCACAATTGATGAACATATTTCAAATGATCAGATACAGAATATACTGACTTATTCAAACAGTAAGTTTCTAAGCCTAAAATAAGTCTAACAAGCTGCTTGCTCTTTTCATTAGATTACTTTCTTTGCATTTTAGGCAAGGTAGGTATTTGTGCTTAAGACTGTAAGGAGATTCCAATTTTTAAGATAAAATTTTCATAAAAATCTCATAAATTGATAATTGGATTGATAAATAGGTCTTCTTACATTAGAAAAAATAAAAATTTCTGCTAGCAGGTTTAAATGTCAGGTGTAATAATGATAATATACCATTTTGGAATTATAACATTTAGCTGAATCAAAAAATTATTAGACACACCAACTTATTTTTTCATAAACACCAACTAGGAAGAGAATTATGTGAATATACAACTGGAATTTCAGAAATCTGGCAGGAAAGAATCATATTTTATGTAGTAGAATGAGCGTACATTTTGGAACTAGATAGAATTGGTTCTGAGTCTTACTTCTGCCTTTTACTAGCAGAAGAATCTTAGTCAAATTTGTCTGTCAAAGAAATGGTTTTATTAACTTTAAAAAGGGGAGATGATTATACTTGCCTCTCAGGAACATACTAGGATTAAAGATAATGAATATATAAAGTGTCAGGAGTAGACAGCAATGCTATATGTATAAAAATAGAAAAACTGTCACATAATTAGAGATGAAATAAATTAGAAAATATTTATTTATCCATATAGTAATATTATGAAGATATCTTTAAAGAAAGTTAAAAAGTAAATGTTTCTTAAAGAGCCTAGATTGTCTGCAATCTTAGTATTAAATTTTTGAGGAAAACATTAAATAACATTTATATGTATTTAAACAAGGATTTTAGCTATGATTAAATCTATTATTATTATTTTTTTTTTTTTTGAGTTGGAGTTTCACCCTGTCGCCCAGACTGGAGTGCAGTGGCTGCTCCCAGCCACCACAGCCTTGACCCACTGGGCTCTGGAGATCCTTCCACCTCAGCCTTCCAAGTAGCTGGAACTACAGGTGAGCGCTACCACATCAGGCTGATTTTTGATTTATTGTAGAGATGAGGTCTCGCCAAGTTGCCCAGGCAGGTCTCGAACCCGAGGGCTCAGGCAATCGACACACCTCAGCCTCCCAAAGGCGCGGGATTACAGGCTGAGCCACTGAACCTGGCTAAATCTATTATTTAGAATGATTACTGTCAATGCTGTTTATGAAATCTAAAATAGATCTGTATTTCCCATGATCTCCTTACATCTATTCATAGCAAACTTTATTTCTGAAAAAGTATCTGGGACTTTTCAATTAACCTAAAATATGAATATATAGAAAAAATATACTTGTTTGATTTTATTTTTATTTTTTATTTTTGAGTTGGAGTCTCACTCTGTCACCGCAGCCTCGACCCGCTGGACTCCAGCGATCCTTCCGCCTCAGCCTTCCAAGTAACTGGAACTACAGGTGCATGTACCACGTCCGGCTAGTTTTTGATTTATTGTAGAGATGAGGTCTTGCCAAGTAGCCCAAGTTGCCATGGGCTCAGGCAATCCACTCACCTCAGCCTCCCAAAGTGCTGGGATTACAGGCTGAGCCACCGAGCCCGGCTTGTTTGATTTTATACTTGGATATCATTTGTCTTACATGAGAGCTAACAAGATTAGGTGAAAAAATTTAGGACTAAATTCATGAATGGGTCAATATTTAGGATTTAGTTATCATTATAAACTCTGTATAGTGCATCAAATAATCACTGATTTTAATCACTTTGATTTAGAAAACCTATGTTGTAAAAATGTTGAGTCTGAAAAACAAGTATCTTCAGGATAAGCACAGCAATAAACTTCAAGCTGAATGTATAATATATATAATTAAAGCTATATAGCTCAACTGTCATCAATTTTTTATAGCGAGTGCTTTGGGTTTTGTTTATAAACTTTAGGTGCTCAGCAAAGTTATTAACTTAATTGTTTTAAAATGAATTAAATGTTATGCTCCACCTCTATGATTATAGCAAGTTTTATTTAAGGTTTACAAATGAATCAAAATAGTCAATTTGAAAAAATAACTTACTGTGAATTACTTTGTGTTTCACTCAACGTATAGTTAGAATAATGCTGTAAAAATAAACTTAATTATTTCAGCCTATAAACATACTTTTGACTAATTTGTCTTTTAATAATAAATAGTCCTGAATCCATTAATTTTTAAACAGCTTAAGGTCTAATCAACATATAAAAACTGGCACATATTTACAGTGCACAATTTGGTAAATTGAGCCGGGCTCGGTGGCTCAGCCTGTAATCCCGCGCCTTTGGGAGGCTGAGGTGAGTGGATTGCCTGAGCCCGCGGGTTCGAGACCCGCCTGGGCAGCAAGACCTCATCTCTACAATAAATCAAAAAAATCAGCCGGGCGTGGTAGCACATGCCTGTAATTACGGCTACTTGGAAGGCTGAGGCGGAAGGATCGCTGGAGCCCAGCAGGTCGAGGCTGCGGTGGCCGGGAGTGGCCACTGCACTCCAGTCTGGGTGACAGAGTGAGACTCCAACTCAAAAAACAAAACAAAACAATTTGGTAAATTTTGACTTATGGATATATCCATGAAATGAATACCAAAATCAAGATGTGAACATACTCATCACTCCCAAGTTTACTTGTGCACACCCTTTGCAAAAACTTCTCTCAGTTCTCCTCTATCCTCAGTCTCTAAGTAACTGCTTATCTGCTTCCTTTCACAATAGATTAATTTGAATTTTCTTGAGTTTTACAAAAACAGAATTACAAGATATGTACCCATTTTGCTTGGCTTCTTTCACTTAGCATAATTATTCTGAGATTCATCAATGTTGTTATATCCACAGTTCATTCCTTTTTATTGCCGAGTAGTATTCCACGATATGGATATACTCCAATTTGTTTATCCATTCATCTATTGAGGACATTTGGAGAGTTTCCAGTCTGGGACCATTACAAATATAGCATCTATGGATATACATTTCCTTTTCTTTTCTTTTCTTTTTTCTTTTTTTTTTTTTGAGTTGGAGTCTCACTCCATTGCCCAGGCTGGAGTGCAGTGGCACGTTCATGGCCACTCCAGCGTCCTGACCCTGGCAACAGGCATGGTTCTTGTTAACCCTCTATTTCAGATGATTCTTTCTCTGGTCAGAGAGCTCAGTCACATGTATGTGCTTATAGCACTTACTGAATACTCAGGGGACTCTGCAGCTTTCCAGGGTTCTCTCTCAGTAGCTCTTTCCTCTCTAATTTACTTAGTGTCCTCAGATTCTTGGTCCTGCCTCCCCAACCTGGGGATACCAGGATTGCCTCAGTACCTTCTCTCCATCTCACCTGAAAACTCTATTAAGCATGTTATATACACTCTCTCATTTAGTCCTTACCATATCCTCGGAGATAGGTATTATTTTTATCCTAATTGTAAAGCTAATGCTTAGAGACATTAAGCATTATTTGTCTAAGGCCACATAATTATGTAGTTAGCAAGGCTGAACTTGAATTCAGTCTTCTTGACTCTATAACTCATGTTCTAAAAACAATAAGACACAAATTCAGATTTACAAATGAGTAACGTAGGGTTAATTGCAAAAACTTTCATTATTGAGTTCCTTTAGATACCAGTATCCTCTGAATATTAAATTGTGAATCAATATTTTAGCTCAATATGTCAAAAGCAATTTTATTTTAGAAGTTAAAGTTAAGTTGATCATTTCCTAATGATCAACAATCACATAAGGCACTCAGACACTAAAAAAGAGACAGTTCTGTATTTAAATAATTTGTTTATAGTATCTCAAAAATAGATTAAACATCAGGGGAAAACTATCATTATTTTTTTCTTCTGTGTGTAAGTATACTTATGAATACAGAGTATAGGATCACACAATTTTCCCTAAAACAGATACAATTATTTCTACATTAACACACTTCTTTAAAAGGGACTTGTGTGTGGTATAACAGATATCTGTTATATGATATAAAATACATGTAACATTTCATATTTCTTTGTCATTACTGGAAAGACAAATATGAATCAATAAGATGAAATTGCTCTTATAACAAAAGTCTGATGAAGACGCTCTTAACCATGAAAGTTTGTTTCAAAGTATGCTCTCTGAACATCTAATTAAAAGGCCTTGAATTTTCCCATGTAGGCTCATTTGCACACTTTTGTGAAATTAAGGAACAGACAGGATAAGGGTCCTTAGAGAATAATCTCTGAAGAAATTATAATGTTATTTTTGTTATTTACCTGAAGATTTTCACAGGTTTCTTGACTATAAGTCAGTCTCTGGATTTCTGTAGGTGAAACGAGATATAATGCTTGTCCATTGTTGGTGAAGCAGAACGTTCTGGCTATTCGCATATTGGTAAGGGGCAAGTAATACACATCTAATAGAGGCCTTAAACTTGGCAAACTTGAGAAAAAAATTAAAAACTTTGTTAATAATAATGTCAATTTTAGTCATGAACATATTATTTAAGTTAAAAATGGCAGAAACCTTATAAATCTTATGATTTAGTTTAGCTTATATACTTGAGTGGGATATAAAAATGATTTATATTCTTCATATACTTGCTCAGTATTAACTGAGTAAAAACAAATTCTCAGTGTATATGACAATACTCAAAAATAGCATTTCTTTCAAACAATATATAATTCTGTAATATGAATTGAGGGAAGAAATGTTATATCTGTGTTTTAAAAAAAACTCTTACCTAAAAGTCATTATATGTCCATTGGCACAGAAACAAGCAAGGCAGATACTGTTACTCAATGCTACAATATCTCCACGAAGCACAAATGAAGTCTCTGTAATGTTTTGCTTATATGCACAGTTCTGGGTTGGCAGTGAGATTACTTTTGCTTGCTTTTCAGAACATATCACTGCATACTGGTTTTCACTAATTTCCTGAGAAGAAGAGGGAGATATGGAGACAGGTCGACGTTTCTTTAATTTCTCTTTTTCATCTTTTTCTTCAGGAACATTGTGTTCTCTCCAGGGTTCATATGCAGGTGGCATTAAGCAGCCTGTGGTATCCAGAAATGCCATTCTCAAGATTGCACCTTTTAACCTCAATATAGTACCTGAAATATAGACGTCTAGTAAGTAACAGAAATATTTTAATCCACAGAATAAATATGGTGATTCCAACTTTGACATATATGAGAGGAGACCCAAAAAAACCCCAGAATTATTTTTTGGAGGGTGGGTGCAGTACACGCTTCCCCTACCTAGATAAGTGTTCTAGGAACCCATTGGTATCAGTGTACCAGCTAGCATTGTGTGAGAAGCTGTGTTTGGCTTAAGTGAATTTTTTTTTGAGATTCTTTCAACGTGTTTTTGCATTTCATGACGGATGATTTATGAGTGCACCTGCCCAGATGGTGCTGAATGTTCAGTTTTTGACCAAAAACGACATGACCCCCATGCCCTACCCTCCCTATTCACCTGCTCTTGCCCCAAGCAACTTTTTTTTTTGTTTCCCCAGATGAAAAAAGTCCTCAAAAGGAAAAAGTCTTTCAGATGTGGCAGAAGTGAAACAAGCAAACCAATAAACAAACAAACAGCTGCAAAAGCACTTTTAAAAGGCATCAAAATTGACAAGTTCAAAAACTGTTTTGAGGGGTGGAAAAAGTGTCTCAATAGGTGTACTTTACCAATCAGGGAGTATTTTGAAAGTGACTGAAGTTTAAACATATAAGAGTAAATACAGAATTTTTTACAAATAAATTCTGACTTTTTTGGGGTCTCCCCTTGTAATAGACACTCAAATATATGCTGAATGCATACTGAACTGAAAACTGCACACTGGCTTATTGACAGGATTCAAACTTCAAGCATTATATTTATGAGTCTGGAAAAAGATATCAACATTATCCACCCCAAACAAATAGATGCCACCAACTGATCACTCACAATTAAATTACATATGATAAATTTTGTAAACATTTATCTGGCTTTTAGATGAATAAACAAATGATACAATGGGATATATGAACTATAATCTCAGATTTCACACTTAGAGATTAAAAATAGCCAAGTTTAGAATGTTTAAAATTACACTTCCCTGTTCTTCTCTAAACATATATCATTATTTTGCTTGTGAAACATGATATTTTGAGGTATTAGGAATACATTACTATAACAACTTTTTTTTTTTTTGAGTTGAAGTCTCACTCTGTCGCCCAGACTGGAGTGAAGTGGCCGCTCCCAGCCACCACAGCCTCAACCTGCTGGGCTCCGGCGATCCTTCCGCCTCAGCATTCCGAGTAGCCGGAATTACAGGCATGTACTACCATGCCCGGTTGATTTTTTGATTTATTGTAGAGATGAGGTCTCGCTGCCCAGGCGGGTCTCGAACCCGCGGGCTCAAGCAATCCTCTCACCTCAGCCTCCCAAAGGCGCGGGATTACAGGCTGAGCCACCGAGCCCGGCATAACAACCTTTTAAGAACTTTTCCTATGTAGTATTTAACAAATGATCCCCGAATGGCTATATAAATAAACAATATTCTGAAATCTTGTTCTGTGTATTCCTTCACTGAAAACACAGGGCTGTCTCTGTCCCCATTTCCTTTACATTTTAGAATTCTTAGGACAATTCAAGAAGGAAAAGCAAAAAATTCTATTAAATTATTAAATCACAGTAACTCTAAGTGCAGCACCAGAGCATACTTACCACTTGGAGAAACAATTACTGGCTGAAGAAGTCTTTGTTCTCCCCCTGGGGGAAGGTTCAGTGCAATGACAAGCACTGTTCCTAGTGTTGTTCCAACCCATAGACAAGGGGAAGGGGATGAATCTGTCTTTCGAGTAAATGTTTCACAGAAATGAAGAGCAGAGATTGCTTCTCGGGATTCTTTGTCAATGCTCGTTACACTTGAACTCCGTGATCGGCTGAAGGAATTATCCTTTACATCTGAAATGGTTTAAAATGTTGAGAGACAGCTCAAGTACTAAAATATCACATTTTGGGGGGGTATAAATTTGGTCCAATAGTTAATCGGCAAAAAGACAAAATCGAAAGCATATTTAACTTCCTTCTGGTTGATCCTTGAACAACGTGGGTTTGAAATGCACCAGTCCACTTACACACAGATTTTCTAGCACCTCCCCAACCAGAGAAAGCACAGCAAGACCAACCCATCCTCTTCCTCCTCGGCCTAGTCACATCAAGATGAGGACAAAGAACTTTATGATGATTCACTTCCACTTAATGAATAGTAAATACATTTTATCTTCCTCACAATTGTCTTAATAACACTTTCTTTATCTTCCTTATAACTGTCTTAATATTTTTTTCTAGCTTACTTTATTTTATGAATACAGTATATAACACATACACCATATATGTTAATCCGCTGTTTCTGTTATTGTTAAGGCTTCCGATCAACAACAGGTTTTTAGTAGTTCAGTCTGAGGGGGGTCATACTTATACACAGAATTTTGACTCTGTAGAGGGTAGAGAGTTGGTGCCCTTAACCCTGCATATTTTTCAAGGGTGAACTGTAATTGAAAAGAAAAACAATGCACTTTTATGCTAATCATTGTTTTCCTTTTGCTTAAACATAAAATACAAACGAACAAATCCACACTTCTCAGAAATGAGCTGGGTGCATCCCAATGAATTTTTGTATATGCCACCCTCGGTATCCTGACTGCTTTTCTAATCTTAGCCCTTAGTACCTTCTTTCTCATGGTGTGGTGTCTTCCTTTGGTAATATGATTCATGACTAGGTAGAGCCAGACAAGTACGGATCTTTTTAATTTTCTTCAACTAAAAAATTCATTTAGAAGTATTCTGACTCTATCTTCAAATTTACTTCAAATGTAAATGTTTTATTATAATATTATTTATTATAAGTAATGTTTATTTTTTTCAAATCTGCCCATATGGAAACCTTTAATCAATAAAAATTTAGCTTTTTTCCATTTTTCTTGAATGCCATTTTAGTTGTAATTAACACACATCCAAGGTATTTTCATCAAAATGTCTAACTCTTATCTGGTTCATATTCTGTCTCTAATTACAGTGATATTTTAAGATTACACTAATAACCTCCTCTCATCTTCAGCTCCCTTCTCTGTGGCTAATCCCAAATCTGTCTCAATCCCTAAGCTTTTTTTCTCTTAGAACTACATTTCCAAATATTTGTTGGCCATTTTTCCTGCTATGACTCACTATGCAAAACCAAAACACACTGTTTCAGCTTAAACACTAAATTCTTCTAATGATACAATTTATATTGACACTCTCATTCTTGTAGTGAACAGCATTCAGATGAACCATAATTTGGATTCTTCCCTTGCATTTTACCTATACGCTTGATGTGATGCCAAGCCCCATGATAGTTTATTGCAACATTTTGTTTCCTTCTTTCCATTAACAATCTACTTCCATTACCCTAAGTCCAGGCTTTTGTCACCATTTACTTAGGAAAATTCCCAAATGATTTCCCCACCTTTGGCATCTCACTGTTAACACAATTCAATTAAGTTTTATAAGGTATAGTTATAATTCTGTCACTTCAATTTTAAAAAATTCTCAGTAGCTCCTCTTTATCTATTTAATCATGGTTATAATCTTATGCAAGTTTTTAATACTTTTCACAAAATATCTTTAACCTACCCCTTGGCCTTTATCTCCCAATGCTGTCCTGCTTCAGTTCATTGTGGGAAATAAATTCAGCCATTTGATTTTCTCCAAACATAACACTTACCTACTTTTAGGCTTTTGCTTGTGAATTTCTGACTGGTGTCCCTGCATCAGTCCTTTTTTGACCTATCAAGATTATGCTTATTTCCCATCTCAGGTATGGTCGTCTTCCTGAAGTTGCTCCTGGTTTCTGCAACCTCACATCGTTTCCCTCTCTTTTGAATCCTTATGGTGTTGTATCACTCCATGGCACTTACAGCACATTTGTTCTGTAGCTATTTCTGACTTAGTTTCATATCCAGCTCTAAAGTGACCCCAAGTACCCTGAGTGCAAGGATTATGTTGTTTTGATACCCTGCAGAATTTAGCACAGTGCCTTGCATGTAAAAGGTACTCAATAAACACTTGCTGAAGACAGATATATAGTTGAGAATATCTAAACCAATGTTTTTGCTGTATTGTTAGGATATATTACAATTCCCGTAGTTTCTACTGTTCACATCTAATAAATAACTCCTCAAATTATAAGCTTTCAATGCCAATGTGAGAGGAATGACTCTTCAGAATGTTATGAAAAATGAAACATGTTCATGTTTTCTAAGTTGTATTTGATTAAACAAAAAAGGAATAACACCAAATCCTAGTAATTCCCCCAAAAGCTTTTTACAATCAAATTTAGATTCATAAATTGAAAATATTTCCTTAAGTAATAACTATATGCAACTTAATTTTAATTATGGCTAGCCCCTGAAAACAATATGGGTCGTTTTTAATTGCAGTTTCTTTCTTTTTTTTTTCTGATTACCATGGCAAACACTTTATTTTTTATTTTTATTTTTTTTTTAGAAAGCAGGATTTATTGAGAGGACAGAAAAGCTCCGACAGTGGGAGGGGACCCGAGGGGGTTGCCCTGACTGTAGTTTCTAAAAATGTCTTTCTTTTGCCTGAAGTTGCATCTCCTGTTATAAATTATGGTAGACAAAAACTACTTACTATAAATGAAACAACTTTCCATAATCAATACCTCATTATTGGATGTTTGTAATAAGATATTTATTATAAATATTTACTAACTCTTTAAAGTTTTTAAAGTTATTTTCATAAACTATGAAACAATTTTTAAAAATTGCCAAAGACAAACACATGTGTTACTTAAATAAACCATACACATATAAGGTAAATGGGCATTATATTTTCAGTTGTGACCAATTGATAACAATAGAAAACAATGATATAATAAAAGTTGACAATATCAATTATCCTGTGGAAAAAAACTCTCATAACTATTAAAATTACAATAGGTGATCCACAACAATTTATATTTTAAATGTTAATTCATAGTTTAAATAAGCAATATTTTAATTTAATGGACTAATTTAACTATATAAAATTCATAAGCTACAATTATATTTTTATTATGACTTATCTGTAAAATTGTATTAGAAAAAAACTCCAAGACTACATCAATATAAAAAATAGAGTTAGAATCAAGTTTGAGACTGATAGAGATAGGTTGCTTATTTTATTTTCTGCTTAGAACTGTTTAAAAATAACTCAAAACTTTCAGCACTTCATAAATTACAATTTCTACTTATTACTATTAAGTTAGACATTGTGGGTCTCTGTGGGTTGATTTTTACAAATTGGGCAAGCTAAACAAATGGAATAGAAAGTTTAATTTTAGTAGTTCTAATAATAAAAAAATGAAAAATAACTACTGTTAAACAGGACCTACCATGTGCCAGGCACTAGCATAATATATTTATCATCTGATTTAATCCACATAACCACCTTGGAAAGTATTATTATCACAGTTTAACAAATAATTAAATAGAGGCTCAGAGAGGTTAAGTGACTTTTCCAGAATACCAGGCTAGTATATGGTAGAGTCAGCATTTATGCCCATATCCAAGTCTAAAACACTGTTAGGCAACTTCAGACAGCCATATCACCAATATCATAGAGCTAGAGTTGGAAGGTTATGGTTATTATTGAGCATTAAAGTTTAGTCTTTAGATGCCATAAAAGAGGAGTATGTGCTCTTTCTCGCAGATCTAAACTCAGATAAAATTTGTCATTAACGTCTCCACCCAGTTCTAGCTGACACAATCATGTCATAAAATCATTGCTCTCATGCTACTCTCTGGATACCTTAAACATTCTATTTTTATATATCACTCTCTCCTCCCTACACAGAGCCAAATGCAGTGAACATTTATATTCCCAAATCAAATTACAATGCCATGGGATGAATTAGCTCAGGGTCAAAATTAGGTCAAGAAACGAACTCACCTCAAGGTATGTAATAGTTTGATGTTTGCCTCCTAAGGCTAAGACTTGAAAAGTAACATCAAAACTGTAACAATACCACCCATAGTTCCTGACTAACAGGTCATGGAATACAAGACGGACAAGCTATAGTGAAAGTGCAGTGCAGCACAATTTCCTCATGAGCAAAAATGAATTCTACTCACAGAAGCTTCCAGGGCTGCAGGATAGTTCAACAGCGTCAGCTGCTTTACTAGTGTCAGGACCTATCAATACAGTTGAGTTTTTCCCTAATGCCTCCATAACCAACATAAAGAAATTAGCACCCAAGAATCTCCAACAGAAAAAAAAAAAATAGTTCAACAGCACAATGACTGGAGAGAAATTACTTAGGAATCGAAACACAGGAATACTAAAGGTATTTATTAGTCAAAGTTATAATTGGCTTAGGGCGGTAAAATACATGAGCACACTAGCTAAACCATAAACTTAACAAGGAAGACCTATAAAAGCATGGAGTACACACTCTGACTGAATAACATAAGATTTATAAATGTATTTTAAAAAATTGGTTATGATATTTTCATAACTTCAAAAGTAATTCTACATGTGTTTACTCAGATTTTTAAGATGCTAAAAGACACAAAGCCAGTTTTACTAGTAGTAATTAATGTTATTGAAATCATGGGCCAATTTGAGTCTGATGAAAACGCTGGATCCTCTTATAGGAAAAAAATGCACAATGTAAGCCTAAAATAAATTTGGGTTCAAATTATGTCTTTTATTTTTTTGTGTGTGAAAATAATAATGACCTTTTCAAAACATATGCTATCCTATATTTGGATTAATTATTGTTTGTTTACACTAGTGACATTATCAAATTCTGTTGATATAATGTATGAGAGGGCTGAGATATATTCGTTTGGTTTTCTTAAATTTGTATTACAGTTGCTTTAAATTTAAAAGCAGTTCTACTAAATTACTTTTCCTATGAATGAAATATTCTATTGATGACAGTGAAATACGTTACATGCCTATTCACTCATAATCACATGCTTTCTTTCAGTATAACTAAAGTGAGAATATGATTTGGAAATGCTAAAATTGTATGTTTAAACAAACATTTAAGTTTGTATTCTATGTTAAAGGAAAAAAATAGGGAATCTAGAGAATAAATAGTGAGGTAAGGGCAGTAGGCCAATACCAGAGAGAAAATCTAGTTATCTCTAAGGTAGAAGTGAGTAAAAATCATTCTTAAGCAGTCATACTTCTTATCCAGCTAAAGGCAAAAAAAAAAAAACCAAACAAAAAAACCCTGAAATTGAAAAAACACACAAACATGAGTTTAAAAAGAAAGCCTGCTTTTTATATATTATATGAAAACTTATTTTTATCATCATTGAAATGTTATTTGTCCCTATATGATATGAAGGAGCTGTTTTGAGCAGGACATGAAGTAAAATTATTGACTGAATATATTTACCCTGCGTTCACAATAAATGAGTTGCATAGAAGGTGCTTTGGAAGAAAACACATTTTCCAATTTATCACCAAAAATTCAGTAGGGATGATTTTGATGAGAGATTCACTATAATTTAGAGAATGAATTACTCATTTTTAAAATATTAAATTAGTAGAAAAATAATTTTACAGATTACAGTTCAAAATAGGTTTTCAGATGGCTAGTTGGGATATAGCCACTTTTAATAAAAATCATTCTAAAATTGCACAAATTTAATCTTATGTTAAATTCTGTTGATATAAAGTTTGAGAAGGCTGAGAAAATATACTCCTTTGGCCTTCTTAAATTTGTATTACAATTGCTTTTTATAATTTACATATAGCATTTTAAAGATTATTCCACAAGCTGTTGAATATATATATATATATATATATATATATATTTATTTATTTATTTATTTATTTATTTTTTGAGTTGGAGTTTCACTCTATTGCCCAGACTCGAGTGCAAGAGCACACTCCTGGTCACAGTGGCCTTGACCTGCTGGGCTCTGGCGATCCTTCCACCTCAGCATTCCAAGTATCCGGAACTACAGGCGTGAGCTACCACGCCCGGCTAATTTATTTTTATTTATTGTAGAGACGAGGTCTCACCAAGTTGCCCGGGTGGGTCTTGAACCCACGGGTTCAGGCAATCCACTCGCCTCAACCTCCCAAAGTGCTGGGATTACAGGTTGAGCCACCGAGCCCGGCCAAGATGTTTAATCTTTAAACATCTTAGTCATTTTAAACTTACTTTCCAATGAAAATCTAGTTTACAGTAATTTTAAATATTCTGATTTCTGACTTCCCATTACAGGGTTTAATTGCTTTGAATATTCATTCATTTCTTTTACTTACCTAGATCAGGCTTTAGGTCAGTAGGCAAACTTAACTTTCTTGACATCTTTGCTGAAAAATAAAACATATTTTTTAAACTCTGAAGAATATTTGATTCATACTTATTGCCTGATTTTCAAGATAGAAGTGAATACTTTAATTACTAAATCTAGAAGCTAGAATAATTAAAATATGAGTAATAGTATTAGGAGTAGAAAGTAAATCTTACTCTCAACTTTTAAAAACTTTGTACTTACTTGATATATCTTTTTTGTACTTAAAACTCTGACTTTAAGAAATCCTTTTCAATCCTAATTTTTAATTATTTCTAGGTTCACAGAAAAGGATTAGGCTTTTCTTAGAGAAGATAAGTCATTTCTCAGAAGAAAGGTGTTGTGGATAAGGATAATAGAGACATAAGTTAGGGTAAGAGATATAAACTCTTTCCAGTTCATCTTCATAGCTATTGAACTCATTAATTTTTAAGGTTAATTTTCAAATTATAAGCCAAATCTATATTAACAATCAAATTTAGGTATTTGATTATATCATAAAATAACTGACTCAACCATTACCTGATATAAGTTAACCCTTCTATTTACATTGTAGTAAAAAACAAAATGCTAAAGTTATGATATCTGTATAATATGTAAAACAAAAAAGCTAATGCATAAACTTACTGAAATTCACTTTCCATCCTCAAAATCAGTCATTGCTTTAATCTAGAAAGTGATTTGAAGTTAGGAGTTGTTCAACTATATATTATGTTAGTGAGTGCATGCGTAACAGAATAGTGAGTACTTCCTATGTGAAACTGTGAAAAAGTATGTTTGTTAATACATGAATGCATATACTAGGTTAAACTTTGGACTGTTAGGAGATATTTAAAGCACAGACCCTGCTAGTCCATAAGGGCGCCATGTAAACAAAGAGAAATCCAGTCATAGTACAAAACTTCCACATCTAAAAAAATGACAAATCCAGTGTTAGGAAAAAGGCATTAGGTGGGCTGGGAAAGGAAAAGGGAGGGAAGGAATCAAGTTTTTACCTCTAAGCTTCATTAACCTAATTAGTATTCTTTAACAAATAACAATGGGTCAAATTTAGGAATTAGTCATCCTATTTTCACTGACCTAATACAATTTCAGTTAAAAGATAAAAGGTAATAATACAAACCTTAAATAGCAAAATAAAATCTGTACTTGATCTTAACATACATGGTTACTGTTATGTTGGATATCCAATATCCTTAAATGAGAAGATATTATACCCCTAAACAGTTCTTTAAAAGGCAATATTAAATACTATGAAAAAACTTAGAGGTTTTCATAAAATCTATACATACAATGTATAGACCTTGTTAAAATGCACATTCTGGCTCCAAGACTAGGGCTTACAAGACATTTCCAACATGTCTCCTATGAGCTGCTGATACAAGGTCCTTAGACAGTAAGCAACTTCCAGGTAGTAACCAAGACAAATCTGTGAAACCAAATACGTATATATAGTTAAGTCCACCAAAAATATTTCTTGAATAAGTTTCAATGTCCAGCTTGTAAAATCTGGAAGTGTAAAGTATAGTGATTAGGACTGGGTTTGGATTCAGACCAAATCTAGGTTCAAATCCACTTTTACTAACTACAAGTTATATAAATGTAGCAATCACTTTGTCCCTCTAAACCTCAAATTTCCTTATCTGTAATATGAGGATAGATAGCTGTGAGGATTATATACGATGATGTAAGCAAATAATTGAGCATAATAACTGGCATATGGTGTGGTTAAATATTATTAATAATACAATAAAATACGAATTTTTAAATAAACTATAAAACACTGTACAGATGTGTTATTACTGTACTTAAAAACAACCTAACCTTCATTCTAATTCTATGGTGATAGTCTAAGTAACTAAAATAAGCAAAATAAAAAAACCTTAGGACAAAAGTATGTCATGGTATACACCACTATAAACTTAACCATTCATTTCTAAAAACTGAAAACAATATAAAGTTAAATATAAGAGAAAAATAACTTGAAAAATTTACAAGATATAAGTAACAAGTTTATTCTTTTAAAATTAGTTTTCAATTAAAATGTTATACAAATATTTTATAAATTAGAAATATTTTTGTTGCTTTCATTAACTATACATATATTTCTGCTAAAAAATTTTACTAGCACTACATTTCCTTTTGAATTTTATAAACATATGTTTTTGATCTTCCTTAGTACTTACACTAGAATTTTATATAGCCTTAAATATTTTTTAAAATTTAAGTTACTTTCTCTCATAGAAGAAGTTTTGGTTTAAAATTTTTTAATTTCTTTTTTATGTTAATATACTGAATACAATGAATCAGCTTACAAGCAATTCTTCAGTTGGTTTAATTTCAACATTTTAGTAATATTGAAGTTAAAGTTACACATAAAATGATTAGGAAGATTTTTTTTGAATATAGTGACTTTACTATGTATTTCACAAAAATTTTAGCTATGTAGTTTAATTATTACTTCCAGGAAAACTTTACAATTGAATATTCAACCTGGACTCCAACTTAACCACAGTGCTCTAATGACAGATATTTAGCCAAATTGCTGTTATATTTTGATATAGTTTTAAGCAATCTCCTAGAGTATAGAACTTGAAATGTCAGTTTACATCAGAAGATTAACCTTTGCTATTTTGTGTCAATTCTAGCTATTAAGTAATATTTAAAGATACAAAATTAAGAGTTTCAAAGAGTAGAGAAAAACTTGTTTTATATACAGGGCATGAACTTGAACAAAATGATATTTATTCATTTATTAATACTTACTGGACATGTTAGCAATGTGACAGCGGACAGGAATATACTTTCTGACCCCCATGAGCTCACAGTTAATTAGAAGAAATAATTACAATGCACTGTAGTGAGTACTAGTCACAGAGGCAAGCACCAGGTGTTGACTGCAGTGCACTGGATTTTTGCCTATTTAGTCTGGAACACTTACTTAAGACTGTGGGATATGGAGATAAAGCCACCAAGAGACTTGTATATTTTCACAAAACAGAATGTTCTCATCTTTCTTTTTTTGATTAATAATATATTTTCTTTTGATGTAAAATTTATATACAAATGCACAAACTTAAAAGGTATCATCACTGAATTTTGACAATATACACCTGTGTAACTCGAACCTGTGGCAAAATGAGAACATTACCATTAACCCCAAAAAGTTCACATGCTGCTCCCCAATCAATCCCTGTCCCAATCCTAGAAATAACCACAGCATTAAGCTTTTTCACCTTAGATGAGTTTTGCCTGTTCTACAACTTCATATTTATGAAATCACAATATAAACTCTTGTATAAGGTGTCTTTCACTCAGAATGCTTTGTAAAGCTTCTTCCTCAAAATAGTTTAAAGCTAATGTTCTTTTTTTCAATGCACAGAATGAGAGTTTTAAAAAAGATAGTCTCTTATTTAACAGATTCAGAAGTCATATCAGATTTGTTGTTCTTACTGTTTACTATGCATTTGTATTCTTTAAGTTTTTTGAATTAAGTGTTTATATACAGTAAATTTGGAAAAAAATAAACAGAAAAAAGGTCACCATTAATGTCCATAGTCAGAAGCAACATACTTGCATATCTCCTGCCAGTTACTTTCTAAAATTTTTCTTTATATAGTTGAGATTGACTATAATATACATCTGTATCTGGCTTTTTTCACTATTAAAATAAGCATTTTCTTACATCATTAGCTGTTAGTATATTTTAATGGCTATTTACATGGACACTAACAAACCAGTTAGGTGTTTTCCAGTTTTTCAATATACACAATAAAATGTATACATAAATATTTGCATACATTTTGGATTTCCAAAATCACACAGAAGAATTAATGCCAGTACAACTCCCCTAACACCTAAGATGCTCCAAAGTATGTCTTTAAGTAGTATTTTTTAAAAGGTATAAAAGTATAACACTTTACACATTTCTGCTTAGATGAAAAGTAAGAAAAACATGAATAACTTTGGAAAGACGGTGACGTGCTAGATCATAACTATACCCCCCCAAAACTTAAAAAGTTGCTCCATTTGTACTGAGTATAGCTAAGAAATCTGAAGCCAGACTTATTATCCTCTCCCTCTGAATGTTAACTTGTCTATTTTACAAGGAAACTTTTGGTGTGCAGGGGGAGGACAGGAAGAAGGAAGGGGAAGAAGGAAGGGGAGGGAGGAATGGAAAGGATTTATTTATTTATTTATTTATTTATTTTATTTTTTTGACATGGGAGTCTCACTCTGTTGCCCAGACTGGAGTGAAGTGACATGGGAGTCTCACTCTGTTGCCCAGACTGGAGTGAAGTGGCCGCTCCTGGCCACCGCAGCCTTGACCTGCAGGGCTCCGGCGATCCTTCCGTCTCAGCCTTCCGAGTAGCCGGAATTAGAGGCATGCGCTACCACGCCAGGCTGATTTTTTGATTTATTGTAGAGACGAGGTCTCACTGCCCAGGCGGGTCTGGAACCCACGGGCACAGACAATCCACTCACCTCAGCCTCCCAAAGGTGTAGGATTACAGGCTGAGTCACCAAGCCCGGCTAAGGATTTATTTTTTATTTTTTTATTTCTGAGTTGGAGTCTCACTCTGTCGCCCAGGCTGGAGTGCAGTGAGTGTCCCCGGCCACTGCAGCCTCGACCTACTGGGTTCTGGCGATCCTTTCGCCTCAGCCTTCCACGTAGCCGGAATTACAGGGACGCACTACCATGCCCGGTTGATTTTTTTGATTTATTGTAGAGATGAGGTCTTGCCAAGTTGCTCAGGCGGGTCTCGAACCCGCAGGCTCAGGCAATCCACTCACCTCAGCCTCCCAAAGTTCAGGATTACAGGCTGAGCCACCGAGCCCGGCTGGAAAGGATTTAAATACTAGAATGCATCTGTAATGGCCTGCCTTTTCTTGAATGAAGAGGCACTACCTGGAGATTTGCTAACTGACAGGCAAGAGAACTGTGCAGTATCTAGCAAGGATTTTTTCTGAGTGGCACTGCTGACTTGGTGTGTGATCCCCTACCTTTAACTGCCTTCT